GCTCCTCTCCCACAACTTCAGGATATTCTTTAAACGATATATTGATGGTGGGCCCTAACGTCCAACAGTCGCTTTTTTCCATATTGGTCAGAGCCCGTCAACACAAATTTCTCTTGACCGGTGACATAGCTAAAATGTACCGTCAAATAAATGTCAATGAAGAAGACAGGGACTTGCAACTGATCTTGTGGAGGGAAAATGAGAATGAGCCCATTAAAACATGGCGTCTCAATACTACAACATATGGTACTGCAAGCGCTAGTTACTTGAGTACTAGATGTTTAAACCAAGTTGGAGAGGAATGTGGTGAACAATTCATCAAAGATATCATACAAAAGGATTTCTATGTTGATGATTTGATCACCGGCTGTGATAATGAACTAGAGTTACGTCACATACTAAATTCAGTAACAAACGCCCTAAATTCAGCATGTTTCCCCTTGAGGAAATTTAAAACAAATTCAAAGGTTTTGTTTGAAGATTCAGATTTGAGTTCTGCAGATGTCTTAACGTTAAGTGAGTCTTCGCACACCCTGGGTCTTGGTTGGGACCCTGTGAATGATACTTTCAACTTTCCAATCAAGGTTAATACTGACATTGATACAAGCACCATCACAAAAAGAATTATACTGTCGCTTTCATTTCAAATCTATGACCCGCTTGGTCTTTTGAGCCCCTGCATTATTCAAGCAAAAATATTAGTCCAAAGGCTATGGCTAGAAGGAATAGGATGGGATGAACCCATTTCTGTGGATCTTAGGGAGAAGTGGTCTGAAATCTACAATAACCTGTCTTTTCTTGCAAGTCTTCAGATTCCCCGCAGGGTGCTGTGCGAGTCTCCGACATCTTTTGAGCTGCATACCTTTAGTGACGCTTCGCAATGCGCTTATGGTGCTTGTGTATACTTGAGATCCACGAGCTGTGACAACGAGATCACGGTGAGGCTACTATGCTCAAAGTCAAAGGTGGCACCTCTTAAACCGTGCACCATACCTCGTCTCGAACTCTGTGCCGCATTGTTAGCTGCTAGACTGTCTAGGAGTGTACTTGATTCATTAAGAGGGCTCCCTACTCGTACGTTTCACTGGTGCGACTCGAGTGTGGTGTTGGGATGGATTAACAGTAATCCAATGAAGCTTAAGCAATTTGTTGCTAACAGAATAGGCGAAATACTGGAATTAACTAATCCCAAATCGTGGTACTATGTTCCAACTGACTCCAATCCTGCTGATTTAATATCTCGTGGAGTCAATAGCAACCAGCTTTCTAGCATGGAATTGTGGTGGTCAGGTCCTAGTTATTTAAAAAAAAATGAATTAGAATGGCCCAAATTAAACGGAAAAACAGTAGTTGAGAACTTACCTGAAGTCAAGGTACTCACTATTGCGATCGTAGATGAGGGAATACCCTTAATCGACTTTAATAAATTTTCGAATTTTGATAAAGTACGTAGAATTCTGGCTTTCGTGTTGCGTTTTTGCCATAATATAAATTCTAAAACTAAATCCATGAAGTATACAGGGTATTTTAGGCCCGAGGAGTTGCAAAACTCATTTATTTTAATTTGCAAAATTAATCAATCATTGTGTTTTAAGGCAGAGTACGAGAAACTTTTGAAGGGCGTTGCGTTGAGCAGTAAATCGAAAATTTCGTCTCTATCACCATTTTTGGATGAGCAGTTTGTAATACGTGTTGGTGGTCGACTTGGTTCCTCCAACTACCCATTTGAAAAGAAGCATCCCATATTAATTGACTCCTCGCATCGTTCGACAAGGTTACTGTTTGAACGTGAACACATCAAAAATCTGCATGCTGGTCCACAGCTTCTACTGGCTACCTTGAGAGAAACCGTTTGGCCTATTAACGGCAGGAGGCTCGCTAGAAGTGTCGTAAGGGATTGTCTTGTTTGCAGCCGTGTGCGCGGCCAAACACTTTTAACCAGAATGGGCGATTTACCTGCATATCGCGTATCAGTTGATTTTCCATTTAGGACTGTTGGCGTAGATTATGCTGGTCCTTTTCTTATCCTAAATAGAAAGGGTCGAGGCGCTAAAGCAACAAAGTGTTATTTATGTATTTTTATATGTTTGCGATTCAAATGTATACATTTGGAGGCAGTGTCAGATTTATCAATGGAATCTTACATAATGACCTTCCGTAGATTTGTAGCGCGTCGTGGTAAGCCAACGGAGGTATATTCAGACAACGGTCGAAATTTTGTGGCAGCAGCCAAAGAATTGTCTAGTTTTTTAAAACAAAATAATAAACGTCTATCCGAGTTTGCATCTCAGGAGGAAGTAAAGTTTAATTTTATTCCGGCTTACGCTCCCCACTTTGGCGGAATGTGGGAGGCTGGTGTGAAATCCGCAAAGTATCATATTAAAAGAGTAATGGGAAATACGCATCTTACGTTCGAGGAATTTAGTACATTATTAGCACAAGTAGAAGCAATTTTAAACAGCCGTCCCCTTTGTCCCATGTCTTCCTCTCCAAATGACTTACTTTCCTTATCCCCCGGGCACTTTTTGATTGGAAGACCTTTGAATGCTTTACCATCAGCCGCACTGGAGGACCTGAAGGAGACATCTTTAAGCCGCTTCGCCCGTTTGGAGCAGATACGTCAGCATTTTTGGAGAAGATGGCAGAAGGAGTACATAACCGAATTGCAACAACGAACAAAGTGGAAGACAACAAGGGCGACGCTTAATGTTGGAGATTTAGTACTGATTCACGAAGATAATAATCCCCCGCTAAATTGGAGGATGGGTAGAGTTACACGATTATATCCTGGATCAGATGGGATTTCTAGAGTCGCTGATATTCATACCACTAAAGGATGTATACGTCGGCCGTTGGTTCGACTCTGCCGACTTCCCGCTGCTGTTGAATTTAAAGGTTGAAGAACTTGGCTCTTCAACGGGGGGGAGTATGTTCGCGCCCCTATAAACCCCACATATACATACATATAAAAGAAAAGGAATATTACAAATCATAGCGAAAACTTGCATTTATATAACGGATGGCGCCATTTATTGAATGGGACACCGGAGCGCTCTTAGCCCAAGCGTCATTGGTTGTCGCCGGCAGATAGCAGATGTCGCCCGCGTTCGTGTGTTCGGCTGGTTTTACCGACCATAATGTCATGACTTGTTAAAATTGTTAAATTCATTCTGTCAAGAAAACTGTTACTGCTAAATTGATTTTATTATAACATAAAGCGAAATTACTAAAAACACCGAGTTTTTATTGAAGAAGACTCCACTTCTATGCCCAAACACATATAGTGATGTATAAATAACACATGGTCCGTAATTAATTTGTCCTCATTGTAAGAACATTGTTGTCTTTATAACGTACTGTCGTTATTTCATTGATAGTTCAAAGCAATAGTAGTGATCTGCTCTTATCTTTTTCATTTTCAGGAGGTACGGTATTTTTTTCCTTCCTTTTTCATTAGTAATGCCAGTAGTTCTGAAGGCTGCTGTGAAACAGAGTAGCCGTCAGAACAGGTAGCACACCAAATCAGATATCCAAACCGTATAGGTTTTCCCACTTTATATGGTTTCATATGGTCCTGAGTGTCATTTTTTAGCTCGTCTCAAAAGCCTAACGTAATGGGATGAATGTTCATCATTCCTTTTTTCCAGTCTAAAATGTCATGATCAGTAATTGGTAATAACATGGCCCTAGAACTTTTCATGGGAAATTAGAAGAAAACAAATTATTCTTGCTCGCAAATCCAGAAGGCATGCTGGATTTGGTAGAAATTTACTAGGTTTATTTAACAAAAATTTACTAAATCCCCTGTCATTTTGACATTAATAGGAGACAATTAAAATATTCTTACGAACATAAATGTTAAATAACATTAAATTCGTAAATGCATCGCTAATACAGTGAATTAGATGTAGCTGAGTTACGTTCAACAACCAGCCACAAAAACATAACTTTAGAAACCTTACATCCTCCCGTAGAAATACATTACTGCAAAATAATGTTATTTCGTTGAAGAATTCTGCGAGTAAGGTGGTGTTTGATTCCTCAGAAGTACCCACCAATTTAAACCGAAAATTCACCGAGAAACTGATAACCTAACTACCATGGAATTTAACAAAGGAGATTTCTGCTGTTCTCGATCTCTCATTAAATTCGCTTGCTGACTCAAGAAAGCGCTCCAATATTACTTTAAAATAAGTATGATAAATTGAACAGAAAATGATAAATTGAATAGAGAAACACCTATTTTTCGAAAACGTTAAAAACAGTTGAATGTTGTTTTTAAAGATCATCGGTATGTCTGTGGTCGCTTTAACTTCACCAGATTGTCAAAAGTTTTAAAATTAACAAATGCCGACGTTCTATATAGACAGTAATGTTGTATTACTGCTACCTAATACACCTTAAAAATATTTATGTGAAAAATTGCTACCTAAATTATTTTTATACTTCTCAAACTATTTTTGATACAATATTTTTTTATATAACAGCCATCAGTATACAAATCCTATTGAATGTAGGATTAAAAGATTAACAATTCTATTATAAAGCGCATATTTTTATATAATACTCGATAGTTTGTTCTTAAATTGATCCCTTGTGAGGGCTGTTAAAGACAAAATGATTGAAGTCATAAACTAAATGAAGAGAAAATGCTGATTGGTTATATTTATTCAAATTTATCACAAATCTCATCTTCTTTCAGTATTCCTGACTATACTACCTCAAGTGTCTTTTGTGAATAAATAATGAAATGTTATAAAATGTCTAAATAAAAAACCCTAATACCTTCATCCTTTTGTAAGCATCAGTTCTTATACTTATTGACTTAAAAAAGATGTCTTTCGCAAGATCAAAGCAATGAAGAATAATTTTGAACGTGGCTTTGATGTAACTTTTCTTTACCAAAGTGAGTTCACGCAACAATAAATTATAAAACAGATAAGTATTAGAAATTATTTTTCAAATGCCAATGTTTTAAAAATAAGTACTTAGTCACTTACCACTTTCATTTGCTGATGTTAATTAACACCCACAGTTAAAGAAACTAATTCCTAACACAAAAGGGTAAAATTATCAAAGTTTTATTCACTTTAAAAACGTTCAGTCAGTATGCACTTTAGAGAATTCGGAATCACCAACTGTGACAAATATTCGAGTGGTGCAAGTTTTCGTAAGTGCCGCGACTTGCGCAATGGGGGTGGCTCTCGCAGACGTCCTGCCTAACTGATCGCTCACCGAAGACTGAATTTGAAATATTCGGTAGTCCCTCAGGACGCGAATGGCATGAAAATATAGAATAGTACCTACTTGTGATAAGTCAATTAATCGTTCCTGATATCTACGCCATTTCACTTAGGCTAGGAGAGTTATAACGTTGTCATGCGCCGCTATTGTGATTCTATGTAACTATCATCTTACAAAATATTGTGCTTGAGAATTTATGAAAACTGAACTTATCTACTAGTAGTTTCATGCGAAGGCATTGTATACAGCATCATATCTTCTACAAATACGTTCGATGTATGATGTAATTAAATTACTTTAGTAAGAATAAAAACATAATTAAGTTAGTAATAAAAAGGGTAATATATTTTAAGTAATAAGAAGGAAACATTTTAGGGAAAACTAGATTTCGCGTCTCTATTTAGAAGACACACATACTTGCAAGAAGAAAAACTTTATAACTTCTGTCGTCTCCTGACTATCAAGAGAGGCGAAAAGGTTAAGCTAGCCATCACCAGTACAGGTGAATCCGTTTTCCGCTTCAGTAAATGTTGAAAACAAACTTTCTTTTTCATTATCTTGGGTGTGATTAACTCAAAAGCGTTTAAGATTCAAGATTTTCCGAACATAAACGATCTATTAACTTTAAAGTAGCTACGTGATTAAGTGTTTATATTGTTATTTTTATCTATGTTGTTGTGGTTCTTAACATAAAGTCTAACAACGGAACCCAGTCTTTCAGTCTATCTGTCAAAGGGCTGTATCTCATTTACTTATCATGAAGAGCACCTATATGTCAGAATTTTCAAGGATTGTGTATTTTTTTGCTAATATTTAACGCGGCACTGCTTTGACAACGAATAGTAAATCGTTTAATTAATTTAAAACAAAATGAAATTAAGAAAAGGAGGTCTACGTATAAGAAATTAAACTTTTTCGTCGATATTATTTATCATCAGCCTATTTACCAGCAGTGTCCACTGATGGGGCACAGGCCTTTTCCTATGGATGGGATAGGAAGATTGGACCCTGGCCCACTACGCGGGCCCAGTGGTGTGAGTGAACTTAGCACGTCATTTCCCAGCACATCGAAAACAAATGTGTGTTCTATTCGCAGAAGAGTTCTATAGTTCCTGATACTTTTTAGAAATAGTTCTAGCGTTTTTATGCGGGAAGTGCGAATAGGTGGGTGCTAACGATTGTATATGAAGCTGGGACCAACGGCTTAACGTGCCTTCCGAGCACTTTATGGAGGAGCTCGAGATGGTAAATATTTTTTGGTCAACCATTCAATGACCGACCGCTGCAAAAGTTGCTTTACTTTAATGATCGCAGCCGAACGCACTTACCACTTGCTCCATAGAGTTTCCCGTCTTCTTAGTCGATATACTAACCATAAAAATAATCCGAATACAATACGAATCCGTGTACTATTGAAACTCTCAATTAGCTATTTTTTATTGGATGTTGACTTTCACTTATACTTATAGAAGTCAATAAAGTGGCATATTTTTCGTGCGAGTTCCTCGTTAAAAGCTGTCCCATGAATATTTCACGGAAATGGTTTTATACCTAATACTTTTCCTTTCGACATTAATGGGGCTTTTGGATCCAAGGTTATCATACTCGCGTAGCCTCTTGATAAACAATAGACCCTATTGTTTAGCACGTAAAAACCATCCCTTTGAAATGCAAAGAAAATGCTCGCTGACGTATTATGAAAGTGAAATGTTCCCCACCCTGTATACGTAAAAATTCAAAGGTGAACTGAACAACATAATGTTTGTGGTACTTATTTTATGCATATTAAGCATGAGCTTGACATTGTCTCCAAAAGAATATTTTTTGCTTACATGCGTGTTTTCTGCTCGTTAGTATAATAATTTTGATAATACTAGTGGCCGCCCGCGATTTTGGCGCGTTATCTTTAGTATTTTGAAAATCCCTCAGGAACCTAACACTTTTACGGGATAAAAAGTATCCTGTCTCTTTCCAGTTTATAATGTGCAAGTGTGCGCGCGCGCGTGTGTGTGTGTGTGTAAAAATCGCTAGCTTTTAGCATCGTGGCCCGGGACTCAAAAAGGCTCCGCGCAAAATATATATTCGTGCTATGTTTTCAATCTCCAGTTCTCCTGCTAAATACGCTGTGGCCTTGGCTGGTGCACCACTGTCCCTGAGTGCGCCGCCGCTTCTCCTGAGCGCGCCGTTAGAGCTGGTTCCCACTTGTCGGGTGTCGGATTCGTATATTAATCGGATGTCGGTGCCTTTGTTCACTCACACGATTAATAATCGGTTGTCGGTCACGGTTGAAGCTTTAACCAATTTTAGTCACTCTTCGCGAGGAGACTGTTCACGATAGACGTTGCCGAAATTATTGTTGTGATGTTCCTATTATTATTTAAAAAAACAAAGAAAGAGAGCCATGGAAAGTAAATATTGAATGCACATATTCCTGAGGGAAAGATTTGATTTTGGGTAAATTTTAGAACTTAAAACAGAATTGAGAAGTGACGAAATTAAGTGTTTAGTTATTTTAGGATGTCAATATCAACATTCAACGATCTACTGGCTCAAATGTTAGTGAACATAAACTACCAAAATACAGGACTTAGAGACTGCATTTGTACTGAAAAAGGATTGCGTTACGGACAGAATAAGGTGTAGAACCGATACCCGACAGATATGAACATCGCCATTCTTAATCATAGGCGAGCGAAATCCAACACGATTTTTCCGGGCGTAGAGGGCTGGCAAAACAGCCGACACTTCTTGTCGGAGCCAACACAAAATCGGTTTCCGATAAGTGTGAATAGCTTCATATATAATGCTCTGCCACTGGAACCTCCGATTAATATAGGGATCCGATACCCGCCAAGTAGGAACGAGCTCTTACTCCTGAGGGCGCCGATACTCCTGAGCGCGACGCAACTCCCGAACGCGTCGGCTCTCCTGAGCTAACGTGTGTGCGTGCGGGCTAGGCCTATTACCAAGTGCATTTTCGCGAGCGTCGTCCGTTGATTTCGTGAGTGCGGATGACTCTTTTGGTTTTCAGTTTCTCTTTCTCTCTCTCTTCTCTTGTTTAGTCTTATAAATAAATGAATTCCTGTATTATTTATCATATTTCTGTCTTTCTCTTAGCAGTCCTTAGAGTTCTTTTTCTTTACATTCTTCCAAATTTCATTCTTTATTTTCTTTCTCTTAAGTGCCTCTCTGCCGCTTTACTCTTCTACCCCTCGTAGGGGAGGGTAACGTTACAAGATAGACAGGAGGAAGACACACTAACGGGTACAAAATATTCGTTTATAAAAATCAAATACATGACTGTTGGACATAAATGATTGTGTTCATCACCTAACAATTGCCGCCGAAAATCTGAAATTGCTTTCGACGTACCGACCTGACCCATTTTCCTACAGTTCCTCTCCCTTTGATTATTATTATACCTTACTTCCTCCTTTGATTGTTTGGACACTTAAAATGGATAAAAGAGACAGATAAAAAACTATATACAGATATACTTCTATATTCGGAAGTCGGTCGTCCGCGGGGGAAACCTTTGCCGACAAAATCGGTAAGGGCCGCGTGACAAGCACCATAAGAAATTCAAGAGATTTATCATAAGCACGATTTTCCTTCTATATCCCGATATAATATATATATACCTATATATATATATTTATTTATTTTGCACTAGGTTATGGAAATATTCGATTGTTGCATATTTATCTAGAAACGGAAACTTGAAAGTATGTAACATTCATAAAAAATACTGATATTCAAAATCAACTTAACGTCCTATAACACGAAGCATAACTATAAATAATATTTTTTCTTCGCGAAAGATGATTTGTCAAGTTAAAATTAAATTTGATTTTTTTTTATAAACAAATAACATTATCATAGGGATATTTTTATTATTGAATCATTTAACTGCGATATTTAAATCTAAAGAAAATTTGACTAGAAAAAAAACACGCGGACCAGGCATCAGACGGGACTCGAACCTGCACCTTCCGGCAGATACACTGACCATTATGCTACCGCGGCCCTAATTTTCTGTGCCGAATTTTCTCTAGCATTTCTTAGACTGTAAGGCAGCGCCATCTCTTCGCATTGTAGATACAGTGTTGTAAGCTTAATTTACACGAATAAAAATATTGTTATTTTAAGGTCTACTCTGGGCTTTATCTTATTATTCATAAAAAAATAGAACAAATAAACCTATTTAAATAAATAAATATTTCCATCACTCACACCAATTACCCTAGCCCCTAGTTTATGGGATGCTAGGGTAATGGATAAAATACATATACTATACATATATAAGTATATTTATATAGAAATACAAACATCCATGACTGGAGTACAAACGCTCGTATTCATCACACAAACGGGCAGATGTTTCTTTTATGAATCCACCGGGATTTAAACCCGCGACCTCTCGAGTCGCCGACAGCATGGAACACGGCGTACAAACGGCCACGGAGGTCGTCAATTCTATTTCTATTTGAATTCTAAGTCTAATTTATAATATATAATCTAATATTTAAATTGTCTATTTGAATATAGAATACTTTTTACACATAATAGGGCATTTTAAATATTACTAATACTTCTCCTCGATTAATAAAAATAAAACTATTATAATATGAAAAATAAACACTGAAGCGACGAAGCGACTATTAGAAAACTTATTTGATTTTTTAAACGTTTTATTTCTTCTTTCGAACTTCAATAACCGTTTAAAATAAATTGAGCAAACATATTAATATCTCAAATAAGTTTATTGCGCCAAATATAGGTATTATACATTATTTATAATATATTTGGCTCTTAGAACAAATAAGCACTTAACGATGAAACGGCCACAAAGTCCTATTTCTAATGTGGTTTTATTCTAAGTCGACTTCCGTTTTTGAAGTTATACTTCTTTAGGCGCGTTATGAAAAAATGATGAGAGTGAAATTTTAAGATGCGCGCGCATTACTGTAACACAAAAAATTCGCC